AACTAAATTAGTTTTAAAAACTGTTTACATAGTTAGATGGAGAATTGTTTCCTCTATCTCGGAATCTAAAATTCCCTCTTATCACGTGAAAAATGGCTGAGAAAATCGAGATTTAGGAAAAAAAAATTATCCTGCATCAATAGGAACACTGACTCTTACTTCATTGAAGAACACCATCAAAACATCTGCTCTTTCCAGAAAAAAATACATGGTTCGATTTGGCATAGTCTTCTGAGTATTTCTGTATAGAATTGAGCAGGGTAGAAGCGAAACAAACGTTTCGAACAGTATGTGTGCAAAAACTCCATATATTTGTATGAGTGTCAAAATTGGAGCATGTGACTCTATATATAAAGTACTTATATGAAACGAGGAAACAAACGAAAAGAATTGTATGTATATATATACGTCATATTTACATGAAGCATAGTGAGGACACGCGTATATAAAAAAGTGGTATGAAAAATTGAATAAGTTAAATAATAACTTTAAAGTACACAACAATTGAAAGAGAAATTGAAAAGATGTGACTGTATACTTATTTATTTTGAGCTCAAACCGGAAATGAATTGCACCATGTTCCCGAAGAGAAAACCGGGTAAAACATGGTGAAATTAGTCTCAAAGTACACTCTTTAAAGAGGGAATTTTCTTGTTTATAGAACTTGTAGTTTTCGGTGCTATCATGAATTAAAGTTGAATCCTGCGTGATGTTGGGCAATTTCAGAAATTTTCTCAGAAGCTATTCTAAAATAAAAGTAAAAGATTCAAAGAGGACCGGACGAAAAGTCCAAAAATATCTGTGCATGAGTAATTTTATGTGCTCTATCTAATGATGCTAAAAGTAGAGCTCAGAATTTTGTAGTTCCGTCGAAAAACGACTTTTTGCCTTAATTAAAATTTTCTAAAAACTCGTATATTTCGAATTGTGTATGTTCTAGGATATCGGGTTTGTTTACGTATTTGAGTAGAGGTAAGTCTTGCGAAGGTATCCGTAAAAAGGATTATTTGATTTCAACAAAAAACTGGGTGAGTTATGGATCATAGATCGAACCGTAGTTATCCATACACTTCTAATAGACATCACAGATATTCACATCTTCAGTCTTGATATATCGCTAATACGAGAAGAGCACGATATATCAGAACACTCTCCATAGACATTTGCTAACATTGCGAAGACGTGAAAAGACAGATATTTCTTATTTGATACGGCTCTATTATTTGCATTCGAATTGGGTTTTTCTGATAGAAAGATTTGGGCAACCGCATTTCACGAATATATACACAACCCGCACACGTTCTCGGCTATGAAGGAAAACAAGCTAAAAGTACGGCAGATAAATCGAGTACAAAAGTATACGAGAAACCTTTCTTATTTATTACACCATGTTTTACCCGGTTTTTTCTTCGGGAACATGATGCAAAAAAAGTGAGTTGTTTTAACTAACAATGACAACATTGCGACAAGATAGACAAGTAACTTGATTCGATCTAGCATCAAACTCACGGTTTTAGTTCGCGTTCAAGTCTACTTTTGTGTGCTTTTGGTGGGCGAATTATAATTAGGGCTTCTTTTCAATAATTATCCAAGAATTTCCACTTTTCCGCGTTATTTTTGAGAATTTTGAATATGAAAACGTCAAAAACTCAAATAAAATACAGCTATATAAATTTCAGCTTCGATTGTAGAGATTCAGTCTTGTACAGGATAATTAGAGAAATCCTGCAGATTTCTGCAAAAACTTTGTAAGATATCTATATAAGAAGTATACACAACCCGCACACGTCCTCGGCTATGAAGGAAAACAAGCTAAAAGTACGACAGATAAATCGAGCACAAAAGTATACCAGAAACCATGCTTCATACGACTTTCTCAAAAGAAAGTTAAGGGGGCCCCCCCCTCAGAAATCAATGATTTTCACAGAAAAATCGAAATAAAGTTTCTTACTCAGCTAAATAGACCAAAGTCTCCTCTTTCAGAATATGTGTCGCTTTCCCAAAAAAAATTACGTTTGGACTGGTTTTCGAGAGTTTTACCGTCAGCCACCTCGGTTTTCAGGCAGTTTTTAGCAATTTTTCCTTAGTTACCGTGGATGAAATAGCGTCATTCTCAGTAGTGAAGGTGTTTACTTAGTGTACTATGCCCTAAGCATGATATCTGATAGTTTTGTCAAATATTCATTAGGTTTACTAGGAGTTTTCTAGCAACCTTTTTTCCAAAAACTTTTTTTTTCCCCAGACTTAAGAGTTTTTCACGCAGAGAGAGAAGTGCGGGTGAGATTAAACATTTTTACTGGTATAAAACAATAAGATAATAATACCAAAAAAAGAAAAACAACGTAAAAAAATTATTTACACACGAAAAACACCAATAAAACTTTGTACAGTAAAAATAATGTCTGGTGTTTGGTAACATTCATAATTTTTGACATCAGATGGATGTCGACATCGGATTATTTGTTTGATTAACGGCGGCCACACGTACGTCTCGGTTGTTTTGCTTGTTCCATTTCGTTGTTTTCGTATACCGAAGATCAAACAATATAAATCACGGTAAATATCATGTCGACGTTTTATGTCGTCGTCCAGATCGAGTGGATTTTCCTGTTGTTGTGATGTTGTCGTCGTTGGCGGAGGTGGTTTAAGATATGTTTCATCACTAGAAAAATCGAGAATCATGTTTACTGGACAGACTATGTTGATTCGTTCAGAGAGAACAACGACGTAATAAGCGAATACTTACAAATCATATTCGTCACTGAAATTTCCAACATCAGCGTCCTCCTTTTCTTCGTCCGAATCGGAGTCAATGTCGACATTGCTTTGATTGCTATCATAGGGAGGCGGTTGAACAATATCCGCCGGCTTCAAAATATTTATTAGCGACGGAGGCATGGCCACATTTTCTCGATCGAACGCACGACATAAAGCGTTATAAAAGACGAAGAAATTATTCATTTTTCTTTTTTGTCTGAAACGAATAAGAGAATAACCGAAAAAACTGTTTCCAATAGCAGATTTTGTTCGTCAAGAGAGTTAGACTACTTTTACTTCACACTCATCTTTTATCAGCTTATAGAGGAAGAGCTAGACACAGTTATACTGTTTATTTTATGAAAAATGATGAAGTATAAAAAAATCTTTACTGTCACAAAACAACTTAGAACAAAAGAAAAAGCATTATATAAAAACCAAACTGGAAAAAATACTTGTTATATACAGCAAAAAAAACTAATATGCACGGGGCAAGTAGGCGTCGTCCAACTGTTCATCGTCGTCTTGTTGTTGTTTTCGTTCTTCTACGCTCATTTTTGCTCTCACGTCTTCTTTGCGTTTCTTTTTGTGTTCGTAATAAACTCGAAGTTTATCGAATCTTTCCATTCCCAGTCTTGTATAATAGCCACCTTCACCACCTAAATAAAGAATAAACATTGCCACCATTTCTCAGTTCTTTTTATTTCATACCTGTCAGCTGTTCGACCACTGGAATAATTGATTGATAACCATCGTTGTACACGAGTACGGCGAGTGCCACACATACGTCGATGATTGTGCCGGGAGAATATCGATTTTTTGGAGCAAAACTCCATAAAATGGAATGAAAACTTTCATTCGCATTTTCAGAGCTCCCATTGAGCACTCTATTTAGAGTAGCACCTAAATGGGAAAGATTTAGCTTAGCATACATTATTAAAAAATAAACGTACGACTAGCTAATTCTGTGAATACTGGACGGATAGCATTCATCACAGCCAGTGGGAGACTGTGTTTTGTATGATCATATTCTTTATCTAAAGATAGAAAATATATAAGAAAAAATCTTTCCTTTTAGTAATAATACCTTCTTCCCATGCTTTCGTAAATCCACAAAATATCGGTGAGCACCACTCATGATGCGGTTCTAAATCAGTCGATGCCTATAATGGAAAAAGACGTAATTTATATTATATAATCTTTCTATCTTACTTTATGTTTCCATATAGCCCAAACTGATTTAACCATTTCATCGAGATTTGTTTTATTTCGTACGACTGCTTGACGATAATAATATTTAAAATTGGTCATCATATCTAGAAGAGGAGAAGACGATTTACGCAAGTTGAACAAAAACGGTTTATGGTCACTTTTCGTCATCCTTCCTTGGCCCCCAATACCATTTTTTCCATCGATTTTTGTTTGCTTCAAATCTTGTGCAATTTTTTGCAGTCGATGTAACATTTTCTTGGAAAAATGGTTGATGTCTTCGATCTTGTTGATAGTTATGTTGTCGTACGGTGGATTGTTGAGTAATTTTGGAAGAATTTTGGCATCGCCATCACCAATGTAACTAAAATTGCATAATAATTAACATAAAAATCCATTTTACAGGTGAGACTACTTACTTGACGTATTGAACATTGTACAGATGTTGGGAACGTTCAAATAGGCGATAAATCCCATCCACCTCCATTGCACCTGAAAGATCAAAAAATAAGCGAAAAAAATGTTAAACAGTACAATACTTACCGGATGATCCTGTATGATTCATTTCACAATTGTGCTTGTTGATAATTGCTTCATATTTTTCCCTGCTCACATGTTTGATACTGAGGGCGCCAATACACGTTGAACACTTCTTCGACATCCGTTCAATATCTAGCACCTAAATATACAAAAATTCTTATGAGGAGAGACTTCTTTTTTATATCTTACTTTGGCGGTTGTTGAACTGGACATGATCGCGGCTACGCCATTCAAACTTGAAAATCCACGACGCTGCCAACTGCCGTCTCCACTTACGCTCAATTGTCGACTGCCTGATTCAGTGCAAGCCTTCTCAACGGCTGCCGACATAGAGTTTTGTTGATGAGCTCGGAGACTGGGCAGGACATGAGCGACGGTGTGTGAATAATGATCATCGTCGATGGAAGGTGGCACGTTTAAAATTCCAAATAATTTTGCCAGACCTTGATGGCCAATACCAGCGAGATTGGCTCCTTAGCAAAGGGAAGTTTTAATCATTGTCAACAGCAACAAAACCACCTACCAATTACACATCGAATATTCACATCTCGCATTTTTGTTTGTGGACAACATTTCGACGTACCAATTTTGATCATATGGCCACATTTACACGTAAATACGAGAGAACAATATAAACCTACAGCATACATTAATTGTTCACTTCAAGTCGGAAGAAACAAAACAATTTTACCTTCTCTGTTTGCTGTTGCCAAATCGCCATTCCATTTTGATTGACATCTCTCACATACTGTTTGTTTCATCAATTCTATCAAAAGGGAGTTATGAATAACTTGATAATGGTCGCTGACATTTTTCGTATGGTCTTTGGCCGTTTTTGATGCGTATGACGATAGTTTTTCGCAAGACGGACCCGTAAATTCACGTTTTTTGTACGAATAAACATTGTGAGGTGTACGAGGTGTCGTGTCGACAGGTGATTCGGATATTCCTCGTTTTGGTGTGTTAGTGACGTTGAAAAGACGACTTTCTCTCAGGGTAAAGAATGGGGATTTCGGATTAGAGACCGAGGGGGTACACGGAATTACATTTTCTTTATTTTCGTTACTTTTTCGAAGATTTTGTGCGACAGTTTGACGCTTTTTTTTTTTGTCCGAAGGTGTTGGTGCCATATCTGAAAAGAATAGCATATTCAGTAACAAAGATGAAAGCAGTCGTTACATTGTACTAAATAAGAGCAAGATTCACATTACCGCCAGAAAACGGTTATTCATCAGTTTCCATTACTATGATGGTAGCTGTCGAATAACCTCTATGACAGCACAGGAAAGACTTTCTTTTTACTTCATAAATATATATCACACTCCTATATTGAGCCTTAGATCTGCTGTCACTGTGCTCTTCAAACTTGTTTGACGTTTTTCTCAGAACATGGTTTTAGTGGTGTAATGTTGTATTAACTCTTCGACGATTCATCGTAAAACCTTCATTTTTTTTTTATTTTAAAACTAAGACATTTATCTAAAATTTGATCCACGGCGATTTTGGATTTTTGTTTTCTGTGCAGCGATAAGTGGCAAATACTCCGCCGAATTAGGGTTATTTTCAGAGCTCTGACTTAAAATACGTGTAGGGAATAAACGAAAGCGAAATTCAAAAATCGCCGCGGATCAAATTTTAGATTTAGGTGTCTACTTTCATTTGAGACCATTAGCAGCTTCCTGCACCTTCCAACAAAAAAGTCTTTACGCTTTTGCTGAGAGCCCCATTTTGCCCTTTGTCACGCAATAACTCGAGAGCACTTCAATGTTTCGATCTCGAATTTTCAGCATAAGCTCGCCGGACAGTAAACATTAGTCACTGTAAGTGCCATCGAAATCGGATGTAAGCTAAAAAAGTTTTTTCCTGAGGGGGGGCCCCCTTAAGGCCTTTCTTATTTATTACACAATGTTTTACCCCGTTTTTTCTTCGGGAGCATGAGGCACAAAAAGTGAGTAGTTTAACTAACAATGAGTAGGCATGATCAGTAATAAAAGAATCTATCAGAACAGCTAAACGAGTAGTTCATTATACCTATTTGGCGCCAAACTCACGGCTTAAACTCCCGCTCAAGTCTGTTTCTGTGCAATTTTGGTGGGAGAATTATAATTAGGACTGCTTTGCAATAATTACGCAAGAATTGGATGAGAAAATGGGTGCGGGAGGGGAGTCGGGTGGCTGAGAGTAAGCCACTAACACACATTCGGTCCCAAATCAAGCTAAACAAGAATTTAAATTCCATATCTTGCAGAATTCCAGTTACAATTCGAAGTTCGACGAAAATCTTTTTTTTTGAAACAGTTACAGTAAACAATTCCTCTCAATTCGGATTTGACATCCGGTAGAATCATAATTCGAATTCGAACTCTGCCAAAAATCTTTTTTTTACAAACTTCTACAGTAAAAAAAATCTTCTTATTTTCTCCATAGAACTCATTTCTTATGCAATAAAAATATTATATTCGAAGTTAGCGTCAACAACCGATTCGAATGATATATGCTTCGGAATTTTTCGTTGATTTTCATCCTTG